CCCGGTAGAGACGCCTATGGCGCATGGTAACATACTACCATGAGTTTTAATGTGGTCATCAACACTTGAGCTTCAGAGGTGCATTGCCTTGCATTGGGGTGTGTTATGCACCACACCTTTTTTAGCTCTGGAAAAAGTGGGGAACGGTTAGAATGCCAGGTTTTTATTGTTGCTCCTTTTGAAGTGACCAACACTTTGTGTTGATTCGCTGAAAGAGGAAATGATGAGAAGTTATTTTAAAGGATTTTGCACTATAATGGTATAAGGACCTGTGTTGGCGGGCTTTAGCGCTGATTCACACCTGAGCGTTTTTCAAAGCTCCAAAATGCTCAACAACCAAAATCCCATGCTTTTAAATTGTGTCTGTTCCCATTCAAGTCTTTAGTAACGCAAAATCCTCTAAAGCAGGTTTAAATGCAGGTCAGAAGGAGATCAGTGGGAAGTCAGATGCACCTATCCATAAATTCTGAATGCTCTCAGAAGTGTCCCAAACTGAAATGTCAAACTTTATAGAAACATTTGTCAGTGTCGCAAATGACCGATGATAAAATACACTAAATATGTTCAAAGGCAGTAGAACAGTAGCTCTAAATCAGTATATATGGAATTAAAACAATGTATCCAATAGTGATCCCAACATATGCGCCTGCTGAAATTAAACCTGATAGTTTAGTGTACGGCCACTAGGCACAGGGGTGACGTCATGATACTTCCAGCAAGATCAGCAGGCAAACATCAGTGAAGTGACACCATTTTATTCCTGCAGTGTAAAAATGAAATTGGTCTTGGCTTTGCAGTGCTGCAGGCAGGACCGGATTTACTCTCTCTGCTGCCCCAAAGCCAGGTTCCTCAATGCGCCCCCCTACGCGCCAAACCCCCCATGCAGCCTGCAGATCTGCAGGCTGCATACAAGTGATCTCGGTGACATCACCGAGATCACTTGTACAAAACAAGTGGCGGCTTCCCCGCTGTACATTTAGCTCTGCTTGCCCAAAGCAGGGCTAAATGTAGAAAACAACTACCCGCCCGACACCCTAAACTGCATGTCCCGGGCATTGGGAGAGAAGGATTCCACACCCCTGCTTCCCCTCTACTCCCTGCTGCCCCAAGGCCGGGCCTTGTTTGGCCTTGTGGGAAATCCGGCCCTGGCTACAGGGGTGTTGTCACATTCTTGGCCCCTTTTACTGCTCCAGTCCAAACACTTCTGGATAGGGTCAGTATTCTGCAGAGATCCAGTCCAAACCCTGCCAGAATCTCCACAGTGCACAAACTGTCTCCAGATCATCCTCTGGGTCTGGACCCATCGCAGGTACCCATGCCATTACTCATCCTGCTATGCCCTGTCACCAACTCCAGGGTTTTGGACAGCAGGTGTAAGGGAAGCCTTCTCATCAGCTCAGCCTCCACCAGGTACATGACATTCATTGTCCATTCACAGGCTGGGGGTAGGACAAGACCTGTAAGTATTACTCAAAGCATAACTAAACCAAAAACAACAAAAAATTATATATTGCAGCTTCAGCCCTTATGGATAGAGAATAAGGGAGCACAGAGACAGCATAGTGGCTAGAGGAATGATTAGTGATGCTGGCATCACAGGAACATTGAGAGCACGGTGGTCAAAAGTGATGAGGGATATAGTACACCAGTAAGACAAGGTCAAGATTCCGGCTATACAGGTTGGCACGATCTTCCTGCAAGTGTCTGGCCAGAATAACAAGCATTTTTGCAGTCTACATTTTCCCATGTATACATTTCAGCCTTTTGGCCATGAGTTCACCTGTAGTGCTGATTTGTCGGTCCATTTGTTTTCTCCCCATAGTCACGATCCTTCCCCTGCACACATCATTGTTAATCTTGTGTGTTGTTTTTGTGTTTTAGTCATCATTATGTGCATGCATTCAGTCTTCATTGGAGGGGAAGAACAAGCCATCTTTCTAATCAAAGCGCATGAAATGGGACTGACCGATGGACGATATGTCTTTGTACCCTACGACACTTTACTTTACAGCCTTCCATATAAAAACAACTCCTACCCTATCTTCGACAAAAACAGCAAGCTGAAAGAGGCCTATGACGCGGTGCTGACTATCACCATGGACTACGATGACAAGTCGTTTTATGATGTCTTTGCTGAGTTTAAAGAAAAGGGGGAGATAGTAACAAATCTGGAGCCACAGCAAGTAAGTAACTAAGTTAATGTGCCCTCAATTGCACTGCATTTGCAAAAGCGAACCCTGCCCATGTTGCTGAGCTCCGATCCACTGTTGTGAAATAGCCCCCCAATGTTCTGACCTACAGGAGTGCGCTCTAAACATTGTGTTTTCTATTGTTTTCACAGAAAAACCATCACTTTTAGAAGTACCAATTTCCTGGGTCCCTTAAAGCTCTCCTCCTGCTGACCTTCACAACACTGCTGTATCCTTAAATGACTTGAAGGTAGGCAGGGGGAACCAGTGAGAGCTTTGGAGGACACAGGAGATAGACATTCATGGAAGTTCTGATTTTGCAGCAGACTTCGGAGAATGATTTCCCAGGTATAGAATAGACATCCTTAACGTGGGCAGCAGGAAAGGTAAGTATTCACACTCTTCTTTTACAAGATATGCTCTCAGCCCATGTCATCAACAGCACTGCTTTAGAGTATGTCGAGGTTCAAAGAGGGCCGCATTTAGCTTGGCAGAGCTAATAATTGCACCCTTTTGTACCATTCGGAGTAGCATATTATCTGCTTTATACACAGAGCTATTTTTCAACTGTACAGATCACTAAACAAAAGAAAGGAGAGAAAGCTTTAGGTTCCTGATTTATAAAAAGTCTTCTGAATTATGAATGTCTTATTAATAGTCATCTGACTCCTTACATCCTTTGCACTCCATTCCTCTACATATGTCTAACTCTTCTGTCTAGAGGTGGACAGAAAAGGGTAAATGAAAATAAACAAGTTATCACAATTTGTAGCTGTTGAGGCTTGGTGCTTCCTATTCCTGTTGCCAATGTCACTGGCCCATGAGTTCCACTATCATTAATACATCCCTGGGTGCAAATACATTTGGGCCTCAAGTCTAGGCCATTACCATTACCTCCACCAACAGAAGCATGTATTTGCAATTTTTAGCGATTGTGCAAAATGAAATTAAAGGAGAATTATGGGGTCAGGGCTTTTCCCCATAGTTCTCCTAAGGGTAACGGGAGGACACAAACTAGCGTAGGCAGAGCCAGCTGTCAATCCCGCAGCTGGGTGGATCCCGACAGTAATGTCGGGATCTGTCCTGGCTGCGGCGTCTCAGCATACCGCAAGCTGTAACTCTCTATATACTGAGCTTTGGGTGACGGGAGGACGCTTTTTTGTGTCCTCCCGTCACCCAAAGCTCAGTATACCGCGAGCTACAGCTCGCGTTATACTGAGACGCCGCAGCCAGGGCGGATCCCGACAATACTGTCTGGATCCACCCAGCTGTGTGAGTGACAGCTGGCTCTGCCTATCTAGAGGCAGAGCCAGCTGTACCCGCCCCTCCCCCGTCCATTCCGCCAGTCAGCGCTGGGGGATCTGACAGGGGAGGCGGGGAATCCATGCAGGGAGCCGTGAGTGACAGCCACGGCTCTCTGCAGGTAAAGGATCGAGAAGTGAGCGAGCGACGGTATGTGTTCGCTCACTTCCCGATCTATTGAGCCGACCTGTGACAGTTTCATTGTCACAGGTCGGCTAGAACTATGAGGCTGAGTGATTTTCACTCGCCTCATAGTTCTCCTTTAAGAGACACTTAAATGTTAAAACAATTCACCTTACTAAGAGGCAGTTGTTGTTTTGGGATCTAATAAGATTGTACAGGAGTTTTGGTCAGTAGGTCATACAAAGTCAGCACATATTTATCAAGTAACCATACAAATGAAATGTTTTCAGTTGGTTTGATAACACTCTCATATATATGGTAGGCAATGACCTTGCTAGTTACAACAAAATCACAGTTTCTACTGTCTACACTGATAAGCTAGTTCTGGCCTTTTTGACTTGTTCCTTTCAGTGATAGCAGAGATGCCATTATATATTTTTGGAGTTCTCCTCATGCAGCTGAATGGCTGCTAATGGTTTGTAGTCACCTTGACCTAAGGCAACTACTTACATTTTGTTTGCTATGACTATATCCAGTCTAGCTGATTACATAGTCTGTACACATTTGGCTTTTCCTAAGGGTTCTGTTATTGATTGCATCTGCCTGCTGATTTGTGTAACCTTGCCACAGAGCAGAGCAACCAATAGTGGAAAGTTATGGATATCTATCTGTCTCCAGCCAATCACTAGGAGTTTCATGTCCAGTGGTGCATGGTGGGAGAGGACATAAATATCTGAGTCTGACCATGTGAGGCCTACAGGTGGTAAGGTGTGGACCCAGTCGTGGTCAGGAACTATTCCTGAGATGGAGAGCCAGGGAGGAACTTTGTCTGCTGGAGGTACTGAAGAAGCCAGGATTGGCTTGTACCCCGCAGGAGGTCTGGTGTCTCATCTACAGGTTCAAGATATAAAATCTGCTTTTGCATAGGGGATCCAACATACCTCCTCCCTCCCGGACCACAGCCTAAAAATGCAAAATAAGAATGGTCCCTGTGCTGTGGACTTATTTTGCATCTGTAAACGGTTACTCATATTGCTAATTTACTGATGAATTTTGTGTTTCATACCACTGCAAATATACTGACCTATTTTAGGTTAAGCGTTACCTATAAATGCTACACAGAAAATGTGGAATGCGTTTGATTAAAGATTAGACTGACCGGTCAACTTGCTCCAACAGGTCTCGCCACTGTTTGGAACCATCTATAACTCCATGTACTTACTGGCCAAAGCCATGAGCAGCGCCTGGAAACAAGGAGCCTGGATTTCCGGAACCAATCTTGTGGAATACACCAAAAACCTGGACTACCCCGGATTCACACATATGTTGTATACAGATGGCAAGGGGAATGGGCTCAGTAGCTTTGTGGTCTTAGATACTGATGGAAAAATTAACCAGCTCTTCCCGACCTACTCAGTGGAAGTTGGCACCAGTTTAGTGCGCTTTTTAGGAAAGACTATACGGTTTCCAGGTGGGACGCCACCCACTGCGGACTCCAGCTGTTGGTTTGACCCAGACACAATATGCATTGGAGGTAAATTACTTTTATGTCACTGATTGTGCAATGTTGTTACAATGTAGACTTTATAGACATGACCGTCGGGTGCTTCCACATACATCAAATTTGCATTTCCTGTGCTGTCCTGCAACACACCTGTGACTGACAATGCAGCTTGCATTTAGTTTTGTGTGTGGCCGCATGGATAAATACATTGCGCAAAGCAGAGCTACATTTTCTAAGTCCATTTCTTGGCTTAATATAAACAATATATATTTGTAGTATATTTAAAATCAAACTATCAAAATGGAGGCTTATATTTGCTTAAAATGGTATGAAAGTAAGTTTGGTATGCAAAACAGTAAAAGAAATGTTGTTGAGTAAAGTGTGCATACCAAAACATGAAAAATTGCCCTGGTCAAAAAGACTTTGATGACCTCTAGACATGAAATGGTTAAAAATGAATGTGTTATTGTCATGTGAATATAATATATTTATATTTATTTGACATTATCTTACTTTTTTCTGTATTGTTCATCATAGTTCTCTTTGTATGGTTCTGTTCCTCTGATGTTTTTTAATGAAACAAGTCCCCAGCCTCCAATAACGTCTATAGCATATTTGAGGTCTCTGAATATCTTCTGTAGCATGTTAGAAGTCTCTGGCCATCTCCTGTAGCATGTCCGCAGTCTTTGACCATCTCCTCTATGCATGTCCATAATCTCTGACCATCTCCTGTAAGCATACCCTTAGTTCCTGGCCATCTCCTTTAGCATGTCCACAGTCTCTGACCATCTACTATGTGCATGCCCATAGTTTATGGCATTCTCCTGTTGTTCGTTTGCAACCACAACAGAACTCTGTTCTATTTGGTTTTCTGGAAATGGCCAGAGTCTGAGGTAATCGGATATAAATGGACACACATCTGTTTAGATGTGGCTACCCATAGAATAACATTGGGCTTCCACTCTGCCTGAAAATCTTATAGGTGGACCTGATCAGAATGCCCATGTGAAAGGGTACTTAATCCAATCCCTAGACCAAAACTAGCAGTTAACCCCTGCAGTGCGGAGGTAGCCCCACTGCAATTGTTAATTTTGTTCGTTCCTGGAGTTCCTTTTTAAATTGTTACATAAATAACCTATACAGACTGACAAACAAAGTTAAAACTCATAGCGGGGCTCCATGCTATAGATAACTTTTAGTTCACTAATCAGATAGCAATTGCAACAAATGTCTGCTGAAACACATTTACTATAAATGTAGTCAGTTTACTCCTATGACATCAGAGAGGTGCAGTTCAATCTGAGACCTTGAATGTATACATATCCTGTGTGTAAAACATGAAACTTGTGTTACTTTAGCCAAGAAATCTACCAATGTTGTGTGTCACAGAAACAAATGTATCCACAATCGTATCTTTGATTGGCTATTATTTTAAAATCCACAAGATATCCACAATGGTATCTCTGATTAATCTGTTCTTTTGCAATCCAGAGAGATGTGACCCCTCTTTTACAATCTGTCAGACGCTCAATGGATGTAGAAGGTAATATATAAGTGGATAGATCAAGTCCAAACAGTCATAAGCGGCATAGAATTTTAGCCCAAGGCTGCATTCACATGGGGCATTCCTGCAGCAAGAACCTTGTTGGGACAGGAATCCCAGGGGTCCCCATTCAGATGAAGCCACTGTACCCATTCAAGTTAATGACAGGGTGACAGCAGGAGTTTTTTTCCTGGACATAGGCTTCAAATATATCATTGAAAGTGTGCTGCTATATTTGTTTGATAAGCCCCCTTTCTGGCCAGAGCATCCCAGGTTGCTAGGAGCCGAGCCAGGAGATGAAGAGCCTGCAGAGGGTGGCATCACTCTCATGTCTGGTGGCACTGTTTCACTGTATCCTCTTC